AATTTTTTTCAAGGAATTTAAAAAAAAAAAAAAAAAAAATTTCCACACATCCGGCTTTTCTTTTGCATACAAGTGTTGTTGTCAATATGCACAATACATTTTGGATTTCGTCGTATTTTTCACAGTTTTACAACTGTTTTTTTTTATATTTATCGAAAATCAATATATCATTCAGGAAGTATTCGATTTTTGCGATTTCATTGATTTTAAATATGTTAAACGTTATATTATTATAATGACTTTTGAATATTTATTATCATTTAATATTAATTATAATTGAATGACAGGATGACGACTTGGGGACAATTTAAATGACGCGGTTTTTTTTTGAATGGAAAAATTTTCCCAATGGTAAAATTATGAAATTGAATGTGCACGGGAATAAATTACCGAGTTCACTTGGAAATAAACTTGATGGACAAATACGATGTCCGAGTGCGGACCGGCGCAGATGTTTGTGCAGTCGTGCAATTTTGCTGATTCTGCGAAACTTTCGCGAGATATTTACTCTTCGAAGCGACGCGTCTCTGGTAATCGAATAGAACGACGAGTCTATTCAATTCCGAGATCAAAAATATATTCATAAAATGTCGCTAGGAAAATCAATTTTTCCACACAATTAAAAACCATTTCTTGTAATTAACTTTAAACGTGTCTTATGACGTATGACTTTAAAAATTTGATTCAAAATTTTTCACTTATTGTTACCATTATTTGGTACATTTAGCGTTAAATATCGAAAAATATATATTTAATTTACGAATTTTATTTTCTTAAAAGGTTCTTTAAAGACCTGTTAAAAAAATTCGTAAATTTTTAATGAAATAATTTTTAAGAGATAAAAGTCATTTAAAAGGAAACATTTCTTTTACATCGTTGAAAAATATTTTTACGATTGGGGAAAAATATGAAAACGGAGAAAAATTAAAGTTTCTATTTTATGACACGTTTATATAGATCGATGTGCTATGACGATGATCAGTCAATGTAATTGCGAAACGTTTCGTTCCTCCACCGTTAAATAAAGCAAATGAAATAATGGATAAAGTTTTACACAGTATAGAGTTCAGGAACAATATTGCTTTTAGAAAGCAATATTTCAACGGCTCGTAAAGTTTCTTCCCGTCGTATCGTTAATCGGTTTCCGTTTCGAGCGTAGGCGGTTTTATTGAAAAACCACGCGAAGATTCTAAATAACATTTATAAACATTCTTCGATACGTAATTTCGTAATCGTTTCAATCCTGCTTTAATTAAAACTCATTATTGTAGATGAAAAAGAAGAAAGTTTGTAATTCAACAGGATATCTTTTACATTCAAAATCAGATTCTAGAAGTCAAAATAAATATAAATATTAATGCACAAAAATGTCGATTGAGGTATATTTATTAAATTATGTAACAATTTAAGTTCGATGGATTAAAAATAGAATTCAATGACTATGTAATAAAGACAGAAAAAGGTTTTAATGTTAATTCTCGCTTCGTTTAATTGCCATTAATTATAACCTAATGAATCAATCGAAATTTTTGTATACCAATTTTTATCTTTGTTTAATTGCAATTTTTCCATGAATATACAACACTTTTATATAAACACAGCAGAATAATATAAATTATCCTGTATATATTTGCATTAAATAATATATACAAATGATTATATATGCACAGCAACACTATGTATATATTTTAGAATGAAAAGACATTGTGTGCTTGGAGTTACTACTATTGCACGTGTATTGTATTATTCATACAACTAGGTCAACATAGAAGATGCAGAAAAAAAACAAAACAAAAAAAAAAAAAGATAAATTTACAATTCAAAAAATTAACATCAAAAATCTTTTTCATAATCGATACACACTGAATCAAATCTTTTATATTTCATTAAATTATAATTTGACTCTTTTTATACGAAGCATCATTCGTGAATTAAAATAAAATTGATGAAATCGGCGATTAAAAAACTTCCATTGAACATATTACCATTCGAAGATGAAAGATTAGCCGATCTTCAAATTTTCAAATAAACTCTACGCCCGTTTTACAACGGCCCGTTGCTCGAAAAGACTTTGTTCAATGAAAAAAAAAAAAAAAAAAAAAGAAAAGAAAAGAAACAGGAGCCTTCTTTCTTGCGCATAATAATCTGGTCGCATCCACGGCCCCAACAATGAAGATCGATAATTCGAAATGGTCGAGTAGCCGTGCCGTTGAAAAAGGCTCGCCGAGGCTAACGGAAATCTTGCAGCCACCGGGCGAAGAAACACGCCGAGGCAGTGCAACCTCGTATTTCAAAGGATTCCATGACAATTCAGCCTTCCCGCGAGAGCTTTGTTATCGCTTTTGCCTCTCTGCCGGTGTACCTGTTCGCTTTCCACCAGACATTCTAGGTCAACATTGGTCAAACTATGATCCTCGCCCTCTATCAATCGAATTGAAATAAAGTTTCTTTCATTCGGGGATCGTAATCGTGTTTCTGTCTAGCGTAGCATGTGTAAAATCACCTGAATCTTTTCTTCTTTTCTTTTACCAATGAATAAAAAATAGATCTCGATATTTTAGAATCGTTAAAATAAAGATCCTGAGAAACTTTTTGACAAGACGCTTAAAAATTATTGTTTTTGTTAATTTCATGATTTCGCAATTTTTTTTTTTTTTTTTTACTTGTTTAACTGTACAAGTACATCCTCCAAGTTAATCTCTATATCCTGCTATGCAAGGCACATAGACCTATTGATGGATCCAAAACGAAACGTTTCGAATTTCTATGTTAACAGAAATCAAATATCTCTTTCACTATTACGGATTAATTTGCCCATTGATACCCATATTCATAGAAATTGGTACGTTTACTCATTTAAAATTCCACATTATAAGGAAACCAAACATTCAATATATTCATATACATTTTATTCAAATAAAAGAAGAAAAAGGAGAGAGAGAGGAAAACACTCGTTATCGGTTAATCAGAAATCAAAGAGATCTCTCTCTCTCTCTCTCTCTCTCTTTCCCCTTGGAAAATTTTCTGCGTCGAATATGAATCGATACTCGACGCCCGGAGCGCCCTCTAGAAATCACCAAGTCTGGAAAAAAAAAATCTCTCGATGTTTCACATATTATTGAGTGTTAAAGCAGCCCGGCGAGAAAATTCGAGAGCACAGTTTCGTGGACGTGGATGAAAATTCGATAAATTTCAATTTCCGACAAATAGCCTCGGCCAAGGTTCATCCACTTATTTTGCCTCCGATAAATTTTCAATATCCACGCCTCT